CTGCTGAAGGTGCTGGTGGAGATTGACGCTGCTGGGGAGGGATATGTGTAAGGGAGCGTTTAATTACTGCCTGTGCTGGCCCAGCATCTCCACTCCTCCCCTCACCTCCCTGTATAACCTTATGTAGCAAGAGGAATACTATAAAGTTTTACTCGAGTGACCACTCTGGTATGCTGGCAATGGTGCCCAGCTGCAACCAAAAGCTGACCATGCATTGGTCAAATTTAGGGCTTGTTCACACCATGTCCAGACCAGAACCATAAAAGCATCCCAATGTACCCCTATGGTATTTCTGGGCTCTGTTCACACCAGCGCAGTCCATTCCGGTCCAGACAAAAAAAACGTACTGCTCGTCTTACTTTCTCTGTTCTGAAATGCATGTAAATGCATGCAAACTCACTCACTCTGCACCTGAAAGCCCAGTTTAAGCTTAAAAAAAAGTGGCAAAAACGCACTGCGTTTGCAGATCTGCTTCAGACCTGGTCCGGACATGGTGTGAACATAGTGTTAGGTTGCATCCTGCTGGTTTAGCTCAAATTCAACCAGTGAGTGGCCCTGTTCAAAAAAAAAGTGTTTTTTTATTTTTAGATTAACTTTTGTTGAAGGTGCCCATCAGGAAATTCTTCTCTGAACAGTGACTGCAGCCAATCTGCTCGCTGGACTATTGAATCCTGACATCGGCAGGTGTGCTGCTGTCAGAATATAATAGCTTGGTGGAGGAGGATTACACAATCCATGGTGTTGGCCCGGTTAGGGGGGGATCTGGTGGGGTTTTATTTTTTTATACTTCAGCCCAAGGCTAAATGACCAGTGTATGGCTACCTTTTTAAGGGCCCATTCACATCAGCCTCCGCAGTAAACTGCACAGTGGCTGATGTGCCGATTCCGTCACGTATCCTGGATTTTTTTTTTATTTATTGTCGTTGGCCGGGAAAACTTTTGTTTTCTCAAATGTTAAAAAGCGCACAAACACGTGGGGGGAAAAATGCGGGGTGTCTGCAGCAGAATTAGCAACATGAGCTACTTTCCCATGTTTGTTGTGTTCCCAGTGTGCTTAGGTGTGCACATGGACTTTGTCTTTTGAATGTCTACAGTGATGGAGGCTTTTATGGGTAAATACAATTGGCTAAAATATGTTAAATGCAAATCTAATCTTATGGGAAGATTTGTTGCAATTAATCATCTGACGACAGTCTCAATGTCCTTAAATTCCCCTACTTCAGTGCTGATGGAAGAAGGGCAGTACTAGATCTCCATGTGCTGATAAGGAACATGCTGCAAAAGGGGAGAGCAGAGTGAGCAATGAGATGACCTAATCAGTCATCTGCTGCTCCTTCAGTGGCTGGGAGTAGGGGATTGACCAAACTGTAATGCTTAACTGCAGGTAAGAAAAGTCTCCAACTATGCAGTCTGGTGGGTATGTATAAATCTTATGACTGTGTAAAAATCCAAATCCTTGGCAAGTAAAAAAAACTCCTATATAACAAATATATTTTTGGTACTCTGGTATGCTGGCAATGGTGCCCAGCTGCAACCAAAAGCTGACCATGCATTGGTCAAATTTAGGGCTTGTTCACACCATGTCCAGACCAGAACCAAAAAAAGCATCCCAATAACAGCTGCTATAACATCCCAATAACAACTGCTATATATGTACTTTGACAGTGTATTTAGCTGTTTGCCTAGACTTTAGCTTTCACTTTGCTGCTGTATGGTAGTCATTTAGCTACACATTGAATAATTCTTGAGGTAGATTTTTCATCCTATGTATTTTCATTTATTTTTTTCTTCTTCTTCCAGAGATTCATCAAATGTGCTTGAGCTTTATTAGCTGCATAGCCGGGGGAGTGTTCTTGGGTGCCTGTCTACTGGATATCGTTCCTGACTTTCTTAGTGACATGAAGGAGGCCATGGAGAAAGAGCAAATAACAGTATGTCAAATTTGAGTAAAGTGTGTGCGCTAAAGGGAGCCTGTCCGAATAGACATATGGGAGTTCCCATTGCTAATTACTTTTAAAGATGTGTGGGGAGAGTGAAATCTACTCTATACATAGAGCTGAGCGACCACATTCACTCAGCTCGCGGGCTCTTCTCCCTGCAAAGAACAGTGACAGTCAGCCCCCTTTCTCTTCCTCCAGCACTCATTGGGGGAACAGGCTTGGCTGGCTCTGGCTGTAGTGGGGCAGCCAGAGTGGGTCCCGAAAAAAATAAAAATGTTGGGATCCTTCTTAAGCTGGCCATACACCTTTTTAGGTTTTCTATGGCCAGATGGAAAAAGTGCAACAGGTTCCTCTAGCTATGCTAAACTGTGTGGATGGAGGAATCTCCCACTGGGCCAAGCTTCAGTATCTTGCTAGTCGGCCCTGTTGGCTCTCGGAATACCTGTTGGCTCTCGGAATACCTGAACAATGGCTGCATCCAATCAGATTGTTCAGGTGTTATGACAGCCAGCGGAGCCGATTAGCAAGATACTGAAGCTTGACCCAGCATGAGATTCCTCCAGTCACACAGTTTAGCATAGATGGAGGAATTTGTTGCGCTTTTTCCATCTGACCATAAAAAATCTGCAGATAATCTATAGGTGTATGGCCAGCTTTAGTTGTGGCTCTGCACTCATCAGATAACTGGCTTTAGCCTGCCACCTGCTGACTTAGGGTCACAAGAGTATGTTAGTAAATGACTTATGTGACTCAAAAGAGGTTTGGCTTTACTCCTCTTTTAAAGTTAACCGCTTTAGCACATAAAACTTTGTCCCTGCTCACTATTAATGAGTCACTGTTCTGGATTTACATATTTGCTGTTGTATTATACACATACTTGTTCCAGGTCAGTGATTCACCAAGTATTGAAAAAAGGATCAGGGTAACAACACCAGAGCATGATCCTTCAAAGGTCCGGAGTGCAAGTTCCTAGATTTCTGTCCGGATAGGTTCCTTTTATAAATGTGAGATGTGCTTATTCTCACATTCTTATGTGGGAATAACCACAGAGAAAACATATCTCTACAACTTTGCTAAAAAAAAAAGTGCGGCATTTGTCTTTCAACAATGTAGATCATGCATGTGTATACTGAATGCTTGCATCCTTTAATATTTCCCATGGCAGACCCTCTTATGTCCGTAGAACTTCAAATTCCACCATGTCTCTCTTGCACGTAATGTCTTTATAGAAGTTTTGGGTTCCAGCATATGCCACTGCAGTCATTCCTGTCTTTTGTAGAACGACATTCTCATTCTAGTATTTCTCCTGTCTCCTTAGAATTACAAGTCCCACCATGGCCCACTTCCTTCTCTCTTTATACCTCACGGTTATTTAAGTCTCAGGAAGTACCACTGTTGTACCCTCTATTCCATACATTTACAAACCTAGTATCCCTAATGCAGATCTACAGGTCCCATCTTGTCTGAGGACCATACTATTTTGTCTTTACAGGCCCCTTTGTCCCAGCTCCTAGTGTCTTTACTGAGGGGTGTTTTTTTTTTTCCAAGATGTTCTTAAAGGAGAACAAAAGTACTTAAAGGTTTTTTATTTTTATTGCATATATAGGAAAATGCAAAAACAAGTACAAAACAAGACTGTGTCGCTTACAGTGTAAGATAAAGCAGTCTTCAAGCCACTTTAAAGAATGTAGTTGCTATAAACCTCCAATACAGTTTTGAAATAGAGCAATGCCGTATACAATGTTACATGAAGAAGAATACAATGTCCGGTAAATTGTATATCTTATGCACATGAAATAAATGATTATATTTATTATTAAATATTAACTGTGGTCCCTGTGATCTTTATTGTGCCCGAATGTACTAAACCAAATGCACAGCATGTGGCAGGGGATGCATATCGGCTGTCTATTTTAATTGCCATGATCTCCGTAGAGTGTATTCATGACTAACAACCCCATTGTTAGTCATGAATACACTCTGCAAGCGTAGGGTCAGTCAGGCACCGATGCTAGATCACAAATGTTTCAAAGCTACCTTTTATGGGTACAGGTTAAGCTTTCCAGGTAGAGGATAGAGTTCACCTTTTCTATCAAAGCTGTGTGGTAGGGGGCTGGGAGAGGGCCAGTGTTGTGCAGTAGTTTCCTTGGCCATGTGTAGAGTTCTGGTTTTGCTTCTAAAAGCAGTTGGGGTCATTAAAGGGAAGCTCCAAGATTTCCAAAAGGCCCATTTTGGCTCAGGCGAACAGTGGAGTTGGAACAAACGGTTAATATCAAACACATCATGCCAGCACCGGATCAGTTTTGGGCATCTCCAGATATATTCTTTAAACATGTCCAATATACTTTGTGACAGAGGATTAATGTGTAGCACTTCGAGCCACTGTTCATCTGCAAATGGACCTCCACCCTGAAAATTTCTTTACTTGCCAGTGACCATGGGTTCAAAGAACTAGTAAGCAGTGTGTGTTTATATATTTTTAATATTTTTCACATGAGGCCTCTCACACTGAAATTGTGCAATTAGAAAAATAAAATGCATTTTGTCTAACATAAGAGTGGTCATTTTGTGATAAAGGGGTGGTTCAGATAGCTGAAAAACACAGTTTGTGGGATATAAGTAATACCAGTTTATGATACTGATTAAGAGTAGGATAGCGTGTAGGTTTAAAAAAAAAAAAAAAAAAACCTGCTTTCAAAGTTAAAATACTAGTCTGTTCATGCACGAGGTATGTCACCCTCATTTAATAGAGCTAAGAACCAACCATGCGGTAGGGACCACCAAGCATCCTAGGGCCCAGCCATACACTGCTCCTATTTTCATTCACCCGCAGGCTCAATGAAAAATATAGAGCATATTCTTCCATTATCACTACCAGTGTGGCAATTGAGGAATCTCTGCTGTCAGAATACCTGAACAGTGCTGGTCGCTCATCGGCTGCAGGCTTTGCCATACGAAGATTTTCCAGCCAGCTCCTTCAATCAGCTGATCGAGTGATGTCGAGCAAAAGGGTGCCAACAGCGGCGCACACTGAGAATTTCAGCCAGTTCCTCAAGAATCGGCTGAAATTCGCACAGTGTATGGGCACCTGTACTCCCAGTGGAGATTTGTTTCTCATTTTATTAGAGGAGGTTTGCACAATTAATTTGTAAAACCATTTTTGTGTATCCAAATAGTGTTTTGATTTGGGGTTACCATTTAAATTTTTCTTGGACTCTTAAGCTGGCCATACACCTATAGATTTTCAATCTGAAATTTTTGTTGCTGCCAAGAACCCTCTTTCGATTCTAGCTCAAATAGCCCATTAAGCACAGACCAATGCAAATTTCGATAAATGTTCGTTAGCAATACTATCCTGCCAAATTTTGTCGACTGAATTTTCGTTTGCGCATGTGCAATGTTCTTGCTGCAATATTGTTATCTATATCTATATCACACACAAAAACACGCCACTAATCCATCGATTTTTGTACGATTCGGAAACCTTTTCCAGCCTGACCGATTGAAGAAATTCACCCAAAAGTACAGGATTTAAAATAGTTTGTGTCCCATCAACTGATCGATTATCGTTCGAACGACCATTTGTGGGCGATTTCTGAGCCAAAATCAATGGGTGTATGGGCACCTAAACTATGGAGAACAAGGGGAGTAAATTAAGTTTTTATATGATCCAGCAGATCATCCAAAATTATTACAGCCTAGCATTGGAAGAAGTCAACTATTCTAATTTGATGTTCACAGACAGGGAGTGACTGTTGAATCGGGTCTAGTAGGGTTGACCTGTCCCAATCTGTTAAGCATACTGAAAATCCATCAAAGGGTTTGTACTGTGCACATAGCATATTCCAGGGAGGTTTTAGTATTTCCCAAGAATAAAAGGCCATCATCTGCATACAGTTATTTTATCTTTCCCATCATGTCTAAAAACCTATTAATTTAAGAATGCAGCCCAGCCATGCAAGGGGTTTAATCGCTAGTGCAAATAATAATAGCAAGAGCGGGCAGCCCCATCTCGTGCCTCCACAGTGGAAAAGGTTATGAGACACAGTTGTTTTTAATTTTTATTCTGGCCTTAGGAAAGGAATATAGGAGCTGTATCCATTTGGTATACTTTGGGCCAATACCCATTTGGATAACACCTCCATATCGTTCCATTCCATGCTGTCAAACTCTACAGTTTAGTCTTTCCTGCAGAGCTACACATCTAAATATGGCTGCAACAGCTAATCGACTAAGTCAATCACAATCGATGATGGAAAACATTGCCAACATTTTCCATCGATTAGTTGGCATTCCATTAGTTGCCTTGCTCGTGGCTCCATGCACGCTGCTATGCTGTATAATGTATTGCTGGACACTGTCCTTTCTTCTGGAGGGTGGCTACTTTTGTTCCCCTGGGTCCCTGTGTGTGTTGTAATGTAACCACAGCTCCAAGCTCGCTCCTGTGATGGACAAAAATCTCAATACAAATAAAAGTCCATCACTGGAGCGATACTTTTTTTATTTTGAATCAGATTAATCGGCTAACTAATTATGAGAATAATCGTTAGCTGCATCCCTACATCTAAACATGTCCCCCAACTGGTGCCCTTGATGTCTGTAGGATTAAACGTCCCATGGTGTTCTACAGTATATGGCTAATTTAGTGACTGGTTTAAAATCTGTTGGTTGTCATCTAGCTTTGGCTGTGTGGAGACGTAGGTATGCTGGGACTCGTGCTAACTAGTTCAGTAGTGTTAAGCCACTTTGCAGAATACTGTTGCACCTGCGGAGAGTGTAGGGTGAAGACTACCTGCAAAAGACACTTCCTGTACTACCTTTCTCCAATGGGAAGAGTGGATATTCTTTCAGGTTCTCTAACCTGCCTGAACAGTTTTTCACGAGGGAACATTTACTCCCCACAGATGGACACAAGTTTGCTGTGGAACCCTTAGTCTTTGCCTTTAAAGTAAACCAAGCCATCCCTCTTGCTGTCCCATCTCACAGTACCTGTGCATAGTGACTCTTGTGAGCTCTTTATTGCTCGCTCGCTCATGTAATAGCTCTCTAGCAATGTCTAGTTAGCAGCTGTGAAAACTGCAAAAATCCACTTGGGAGTGTCAAGTCTGAGTAGTCACAGCTGCTATCTAAGGGTCTCTAGAGAACTATGACCAGGAGAGGGGGAACATTAAATAGTTTACAACAACCTCTGTTAAATAGCATTATAAGAGGAATGGCATTGTTTTCATTAGTGGCATTTTCCTTGGCTAATTTATTTTGAGTCATACTATTCTGATTTAATAAGGTTGTAAATTCCAATCGGAGATGAATATATTGCAAACGACATCTATGTCCTACTATATAGCCATATTGAAGGGAATACAAAAAGGTGCTGGGCTGTCCCAAGCATATACAAAAATGTATGTTTAGACCAAATGAAAGAAAAGCTTTTACATTAGATGGAAAGGGCAGCTTATATAAATATGTCTATTTTATATATTTACTGCCTGAACTAATCTGGTTCTGTTTTTTTCTTCTTTCTAGACAAGTTTTCCTCTCCCAGAATTTATCTTGGGGGCCGGAGTCTTGCTTGTCTTGATTATAGAACGCATTGTCCTGGAATGTAGTCATAGTATGACTGAAGAGACTGCACCACTGTTATCCAGCCCTGCTAACTCTCGGTCTAGAGAAGAAAACGTACATCGCCATTCTTATGGTGGCCAGAATCACGATGTGGAACAAGCAGGACACCACTTTCACGTGGATTTCAATGCTCACTCCTCCTTCCGGTCCTTTATCCTCATCCTGTCCTTGTCTCTGCATTCTATATTTGAAGGGATTGCCATTGGATTACAGAATGGCCAGTCAGAGGTTCTACAGATAGCCATTGCAATCCTCATTCATAAGAGTATAATTGCCATTAGCCTATCCCTGCTCTTAATGCAGAGCAATGTAAAAACACGATGGTTTGTGCTGTCAATTGTCGTATTTGCACTTATGTCGCCAATTGGCATTGCTATAGGAATTGGGGTTATGCAGAATGAAGCCAATGGAAGTGGTCTGGTTCAGAGTACTCTAGAAGGTTTGGCTGCTGGGACATTTGTCTATATAACATTTCTAGAGATCTTGCCACATGAACTAAACTCTAACAGATGGCGCCTACCTAAAGTCATTTTCATACTGCTTGGGTTCTCTGGTATGACAGCACTCAGGTTTTTAGGCTGATTACTGAAGCCTTTACAACATATTTTTTTAAATGTAACTTAACTTGTTACCTCTTGTTTACATGAATAATCTAAAAAAGGTAACGCACACATTCCGTTTTACGGTTTTTAAAAAAAATATTGTACTGAAAAGTGTGCTTCCCTAACCACCAATGTTGTATTACTCTTTGTTCTGCAAAGAGCGTAAGACGAGACAGACCCCTGCACTAAAGGGCCTGCAAGAAACTATATTTTCTTATGTTGCTAGCTTTAAAAAAAAATTGATTATTTTAAATACCTTTTTTAAACCTGGCAGTTAGTACAGTTTTATGTGTTTATGGCCATCAAAGAAAAATTAAACCTCCAAACATATATATTTTTATTTTAATAATGTTTTTCTTAAACCCAGTGCCTTACTTTGCACTTCCTTCTAGGTTAATTGTTAATAAATGTAAATGGTACACTGCATTTTAACTTTCCTAGTATATACTTTGCTGTTCATATAAACTGGCATAACATATCATGGGTACACCAAAATTATTCGGAAAAAAAAAATGACTGCCCATACATCTATAATCAGATGTTGTTTTTTTTCCACTGTATTTAAATAACTTCTGACGGTATGAATACTTTTTGTAGGTGCTTTAACTGTGAAACTAAACTGCCATAAAAAGCTTTAAAGTGGAACAAAAAAAATAAATCAGTTTGTGCAGTGCAAATCTCTTGCCAAAAAAACTTTTTTGCAACAAGGTGATTTTATGATTTCCATGTACACTGCATGCACATGCACCATGTGATGTACAACCCAGGCTTGGCGATGAGGACAATATACATAAGCGGAGGTTATCCAGTGTCTGAAAAGGATCGCTGTGGGACCTGAAGGAAGCAGTGGGTGATGAAGTGGTGAAAAGGTCCCAAAAGATTATTTTGCAGAATTGTGAATTACTTGTATGAAGAAGAATTATTTCACCTGAATACACACTACTGAGGGGTGTCTTGTCCGCACTCTTGCCTAAGTGATCTCCCTCCATTAATGGGGTTGGAAGGGACTATACCAAAACAGAACTAAGCTATGATTGTGAAAGAAGTGTGCCATGCTATAGCCTAATGCATTAAGATACCATGGAGTTAGATTCATATATACAAAATTTAGAAAAGAACATCAAATATGTAATAGATTATCATATGTCACCTTCTGTATTAGATTATCATAATATAATACAGAAGGTGACAACTTGAAGTCCATGTCCACCTTTTTGTAAGTATCTGCATTTATTGTGGTAATGAAGAGGTGCAGTGATTTATACGTATGTACATTTTCATGACTCACATTGCAGGCTTTCCTCATTTTTTACGTTTTTATTAGGCCTGAAACCTGTCTGACACCTGGGTGGTCGAATTGTAAAGCAGGCTCTAAACCGCTACCCCCCCCTCCCTGTGACTCATTGTAACATGATCACTGAACACCCGTTCTACCTTTGCACACAATACACTGTCAGGGGAAGTTGGGGCTCACAGCAAGAGCTAATTTCTAATATACATGCATTGCTTGCACAGCGTAGAGTTGGCCAATTCCATGAAGAGGAAGGCTAACAAAAAAAAAGCAAGTTTCTGTGTTCATATACAGCAACTGCAGATGCATGCTTTGCTTGCTGGCATATGTTTTATAAAGAAAATACATTTAAACGAAGTTATGGAGAATTTAGACAATTTAAAAAGGATTTATGTAGTTCTTACAAATAAATGCTTGGTGTCATTACAAGTATTTTCCTAACATTCCCATTTAGATTACTGCAGTGTGATGAATTAAGGCAACCCATTCATTGTATAGTCCAAAAAGGCAGCACGATATTTAAAGCCCATTTCCACCTTTTGCTGAGGTATTTTTAAAGAAACCTATACCAGCAATGTACACCAAGTGTGCATGAAGCAGGCATATGCAGTTGTTGTATATGAACTTGTTAGTATGTCCTCATCGCTTCTTTTCAAGTGGTCACCTCTGTGCTCTGCAAGCAGCCTGTGTAATTTTCAGGCTTCTGTGCACAGTGGGAACTACAATGTATGGCATGGAAAACGACATTTCCCACAATGCTATGCTTCCTTCGTGCGCAAGCTTCTCTGTGGAAACTGAGCTATCTCCCCCCCCATTCATTAATATTCATAGTGGCAGCAGCCCCTGGACAGTGCAGGGAGACCTGAAGTGGCAGTGCTGGTGTACAGTGATCTTGTTACGCTGACTCACAGGGAGGGGGTCAGCTGTTTTACAGGCTGTACGAGACAATCCAACCCTAGTGTCAGATTGAGTTTCCTGTGGAGGGAACTAGGACTCGGACTCACTACAATGTCCATTAAAAAGCCAGCAATGAGTCACGAAAATGTACACACAGATATACATCTTCACTGCACCTCTACATTACCACAATAAATGCTAATCATTTACAAAGGTGGAAATGACAAAAAAAGCCATGCATTTGTTTTATAACAGGATAAAACAGTACTGTATACCTATGTGTTTTGGCCAATCCTGGCCTTGTTCATAGCCCATTCATTATACTGCAACTTGCAAATGCAAATGGGCCCAAAGAGTTTTAAAAATAGCTTTTTTTACCATTTTGTACATTGGGCACGAAAACAGTTATTGTTTTGTATTTTGCATGTGTACTTACTACAATCCTGAGAACTCCCAAGAGTACCCCAAACCTTTGTGTTTTCTAAGGTATATGCCTAATAATGTTCATTTTGTATGGCAGATGTAAATTGTTTATACAAATCATATTGTTTTAAATAAAAATACACTAAAATCATAGTTTTTAAATCTAAAACTGTCAGATAACATACATGTAAATGTAAAATAGGGATTTTGCAAAAAGGGTGAAAATCTAAGGTTTGCAACACTGTAAATAAGCTGAAAATATTGTTTCATTTAATTAAAGTAATATTAAACTTAAAAGGTTTATAATGTATTGTAAATGCTGATCAAATCACTTTCAATGAATGCTGCTACTTCATGTTTTAAAAGTTTTAGTTTCCTGCAGAATCAGCTGGTACCTGGGCACTGGCCCTCTTATCTTGCTAGAGGTTGGCTCCTTTTCCTTAGGGTCTTATGGAGTGTGCTTGTAAGCTGCATGGGGGGAATTCATGAAAACTGGAGCAAACTTGCACTGCAACCAATCGGCTTATCTCTCTCTCATTTTTAAATTTTACCTGAGCAAACTGAAGACAGATGTTGATTCTGCTCCAGATTCTGTTTCGGTGGAATTTATGAAAACTGGAGCAATGTGTCTCCACAAGCACACAGACACGGTAAGGTAAGTGTATTCCCCCCCACTCCCCCCTTTCTTCCCTTCTTCAAGCTCTTGGATAGATGTCTGTTGGAGACTGTTCTGTCCCTTGTGATCTTGTACTGAAGAAATTCAGGGAAGCTGAGCTGAGAGAGTAGCTTGGAAACATGAGGACTATGTTTGTGGGCAAAAATGGAAAGAAATACTTTGCTGGTCAATGTGTATTTGTTTAATATGGATTCCTTACTGAAAAAGAGTTTGAGTTTAATGCTAATTACACACAAAAATGATAGCCCTTAAAATAATTTATAAATCTCTAATGTGCAGATGCATATGATGTAGGGCACTAAGGTACATCTGTGACTTTTATAGAGACTGTCACCAGACCATTCATTTTGGTTACAAAATGTTTTACAGTTCACAGTGTATTAAATAGCATTAGCCATTCTATTAAAAGTTCCCAATAGTAGTGGGCAAACAGACAGCAGTTCAAAAAGAATTAAGGCTGTGACACACTGCACGCGAAGCGGTGGCGCGCTGCCTTTGCGAGCAGTGTGTCATGTCATTTTCTCCTGGGCACCTCAGCTGGCGAGAGAGTTTGCGGAGCTGAGCGTGCCGAGATGAACAATTTCAACTTCAGCCAATCAGCTCGCGTGTATAAACCTGCGCGACGGGATGCGACGTCTGGCCTGTTGTTAAGCACGAGCCGATTGGCTGAAGGTGCAGTCAATCATCTGACTGAACTCAGCTCACACACTGCACGCGAAGCTCCGTGCCGGATAGCTTTGCTTTGCTGTGCACGGCTTCGCGTGCAGTGTGTCGCGGCCTTTATGTGGTAGAAACAGACAATAGGAGACTAATATAAGCCTAATGTTGATCCTGAATACCAGGGAGGAGCTATAACTGGAGTGTTTGTGATGTCAGCATTGTAGGATGTGCCCTTAGGTTAGCCAAGGTTCAAATTGAACCTGGTACTTTGGGAAGGAGTGATGTATAAAACTGGCCATACACCTATAGATTATCTGCAGTCTTTCTATGGCTAGATGGAAAAAGTGCGACAGATTCCTCCATCTACGCTAAACTGTGTGGATGGAGGAATCTCCTGCTGGGCCAGGCTTCAGTATCTTGCTAGTTGGCCCCGCTGGCTGTCAAAATACCTGAACAATGCCTGCATCCAATCAGATTGTTCTGGTATTTTGAGAGCCAGTTGACTTGCAAGATACTGAAGCTTGACCCAGTGGGAGTTTCCTCCATCCACACAGTTTAGCGTAGATGGAGGAATCTGTTGCACTTTTTCCATCTCACCATAGATAATCTATAGGTGTATGTCCAGCTTTAGTAACATAATATGTAAGGTTGAATGAATACCAAGGTCTAGCCTGTTTAACATGTGAGTATGTATTTGTCTGGCTCTAACACTTCTCATACCCCTGAGGATTCTGCAAAATAAGAAACTCATCCAGAAGTTTCATGAATTTATTAATGTTATCAGCAGATACCACCGCCTGTGGTAGGGAATTCCAAACGTTCATCACTCTCACAGTGAAATACCCTTTGTGAATTCTAAGATCAAACCCCTCTCTTGTGTCCCCGGGTTCTCAGTACAGTTTTGGGATTAAACAGTTTGTTCCTGAGGGAGGGGCAGGGCCTTTAGGTGGTAGATATGCTTCACGAGTTAGAATAAATCAGCTCTAATGATGATTTGTTCAAAAGGGAGGTTAGGACGTGTTTAATTGATCATTATAGTGCATTGTGCAGCCCATA